CCCCCCTTGCGGTCTGAGCCCCGAGGCCCCGAGCCCGAGTACGTCTCGGCAGCGCCTTATCACTGAAGACTGCACTTTGCACAGTACTGTAACACTGAGACTTAAGGTCCTTAAGGTGTATTCCCCAAAACAAAAAATAAATAAATCGTTTTTGTGGTAAAATTTTATTATGGTTGTAATACTGGTTAAGTATATAAAACAAATGTATTCATCATAAACAATAAAAATTGATTAATAACATGTGTAAAATAAGTCGTCATAAAAATTTAGTAAGAGATGATTAGTTAGTAATTGATTAATTATAGGTGAGGACATACGCAGGATAGTATGAGTGCTGCTCAAACTTGACAATAACATCCATTATATCCTTGTTTTTGGCTGTTGTATCATAACGTAGTGGCTCTCTACCAGGAATTTCAGGAGGTTCACGCAATACAAGTTGAGGGTTTCTAACTTCTGGCACATTTACAATTTCAGATACTAAAACATAGCACAACAACATTGTCTTATCATTCTCCTGTTTGTCACAATAATTACTTGCATAACTTGAACGAGCAGAAAAAGATACACCAGCTCCAAAACGGTGCCCTGCAAACCAAAAAACGTGCTTTACAGCATGTAACAATGCATCAATTTTTAAGTGTTTACTCACCAATGTTAGTTCCATGTCGATTAACATCTAGGTTTGTTCTCAGAATCGATGAAATATTATCTTTCTTGGTTCCATGAAATACCTTCACAGTTCGTACATGTCCGTACCTGTGTACATATTCCTCCTCTTTTCTTTGGAACTGTTGCATCAGTACATCATTATGCACCTTTTCGATTGACTGAATTGTAAACCCTCTTGTATTATGCATTTCAAATACTATTAAAAAGTGCAATATGATTTTAGATTTTTAAAATTTTGAAGTTTTCAAGGGAAGTAATAGTAAAACCTGCTTATAATGTAGGTCCAAAGGAACAACCAGGTTACATTATATCAGGGTTTACTTAATTTCTAGCAATACTTACATAAAGAAACATCAGTGTAATCATCACTCTCTCGTGACAATTTCAGCCTTTCCACCACAGCCATTATGTTTCATTAACAATTGAGACAGATCAAACAACTCAGTGGTCAAGCTTTAGCTCCCTAGAGAAACATTCACTGAGATTTGGAGGCAGTGGCAGCAGACATACACTTCAGTTTTTCCCCTATTCCCCCTGCTTCTGCATGACCAGGGAAGCCACAACACCAACAAATAATGTTGTGAGGCAGTCAAATTAAAATAAAAAACTAAGTGCTGACATTGACTTGAATTCAATGAAGTACAAGGGGTCAGACCAATATTACACAATAAAGCATGCCAAATTTCTTGAAGAGTCATAAAAGCAGTGTCTTCAAATTTGAACCTTTCAGTAATGCCAACATGATTTCAGGCACCTCTATTTGCCTTGAGCTTTTTGCAGACTATGTGCTGCGAACTCATTTGTTCTGCTAAGTAGCACATTTGGTTTTTGTTTTATTGTTGGTTTCATTATTAAATATAAATTAGTGCATTTCTATCTGGTTGTAAAAATTTAAAAAATAAAACTGAATAATAAAGTTTTGTTATACCAATTTAATTGAAACTTAAACTATTAACACTCAATACAGTTCATTTAAATAGACTTATGCTAAGAATTAAATGATCACAGCATATCACAAGAGCTCTGGCAACACATCTGAGACTAACACAATACTGTACTGTAAATTCATTTTAACCAGTAGTACTAACTAGCAGAAAATTCAGTGTTTCAAGAACTGCTCACTCTTTACAACTTTTGTAAATTGAGCTGCAATTACAGAAGTAACTACCACTCAGCTATGTGGCTAGATAGTTCTCATAATAACAGATTTCAGGATAATGAACTTCGTGGCTCATGGCGCAAAACCTTCAAGACGCAATTCAGCAATTGGGCAACAAAGTCAGCACCTGGTTTGTGGCAAACAGCAAGTTTCCGCAAGGAATCCAGAATTTGCACATCAGCTCCAGCACACTTTGCTGTTAGTTTTCCTTTCTGATTGTTGGCGGTTAAGGCCCAAAGAGCAGCTGCAGCAGCCACTTGCTCATCAGTATCTCCATCTCGCAGCTTTTTGTTTAAAAGATGGACAAACACACCTAAAAATACCACCAATGTTTATTAGAAAACTATGAGTATAATTTTCAGGTTTAAGAACTTTATGAGAAATTTTACCTGAGCTAAGCATCCGTGGACGATTTATAAGACTAAAAGATATGTTGCGAAGAATTTGTAGAGCTAACTTATTATTCTTATTTTGACTTTCAGATAAGTTCAAGAGATACTCAAAAAAATCTGGAACCTGAGTTTAAAAAAAGTTGACTATAGGAACAGAAAATTGATTTAACTTTGATTTTTATATGTTATAGTAATGTACCTTTGGGATAACAACTTGACCTTCTTGGTAGGCAGAAAGCTGGACCAGCAGGCTGAGCCAAATGGTTTCAACATGCCTCTTTTGCCTATTTTTCTTTGAAAGACTGGAGTGGAGATTATGAATTCCACGCATAAGACACCCCTAGAAAAACATTACAAAGTCAGAGATAAAGCAAGAACCTAAGAATATGTAAGAGAATTTTTGAAACATAATAGAGATCTTGCCTTTGTCATGATGGTGCGACATTCTGGCACATGACATGCATTGCAAAGTATACCACTGACAGTAGTCAACACACTCAAATTGTGGTTTGATGTGGCAAGTTCAGTTTCTTGTAGAAAAAGGCTTATTAAAGCATGTAAAAGACTCTGAGATGATGGTGTTCGCCTTAGGCCTAAACCAGGCACAGAGGATGTTAATACCAGTGAATGAGAGGCTGAAACCAATTATGAAGCCAATTTTAAAGCTAGAAACAATACATTTGACCAAAGATTATTCTAAAACAATATGTGTTATTAATTTTTTCACAAACCTGATGGGCAACCAGATGTGAGGGTTGCTAAAAATCTCAAAACCGAAAGTAAAAGATAATGTTGTGCTTGGCACCATGTCCAGATTTTGTGAATGGAATCTGTTACTCCAATATCTGATGCCAACTCTTTAGCCTTTGTATTTTGTAATGAAATACTATTTAAAAGTCCTATAAGAAGATCCAAATCTTGTAATATAGGACAAACCTAGAATGGAAAAGGATATTTAGGAACACATGAAATACAAATTCAGTGATGTAAAAGTAGAATATAATTCATTACAACTCTTCTCAGATACCAACCTTTCTTTTAGTTGCAAGTCGCTTCATTGTCTCTCCAGGTTCTTGAATAAGATAATTCTGGATTGCTCCCAGTTGAGCACAAAGAAGCTCAACCAATCCTTGTTTTAATGCCATTGCTTTCGCACTAGCTGATGTTTCCAACACAGATGAGAGAGCACCCGCAACAGAATTTCGATGTGTTTGCCAATCTGAAGTCCCTGTGAATCAACATCAGTCAGAAGAGAGAGAGAGAGAGAGAGTTCCTTTACCTCCAAATTTCAATGTGAACTAACTTATACCTTTATAAAATTGGTCAACAGATCCAATCTGAAAACTATGTACATCATACAGTGCCAAGAGAGAATGGCAAAGCAAGGCACCAATCGAATCTTCCATATTAGTCTGTAAGTTATTGATAATTCGTTATATTAGAGCAAGTTAAACAGAAATTGAACAGAAAATAAATTCTAAATTACCTCTTTTGCAGCAACAAGAGATGAATTGAAATCAGCATTTACATCATCTAATAAAACTGCAAACGGTTGCCCAAATGCACTGGCAGGGTGGCTCAATAGAGATTGCAAACAGCCGAGTGCGGCACTTTGTAAATTTGTGTGCATTGAGCCTGAAAGAGCGATCGCCAGAACACTGGCAAGAGGCTCTCCCCGCGACCTAATGAGGAGCGAATGAAGTACAGAGTGACCGTTCTCTTCATGACAAGAGTTGTCACCAGCAGAAATGGTTTGAAGCTCTGATATAAGCCATAGAATCTCAGTCCACAGCTCATCACGTAGAGTTTGCAACGCTAAAGACTCGACAGCTGAAAAAGAAAATACCAGTTATGATGACTAAATATAAAGAGTACTGGCATTAAGTACTACATGTGTATCATTATAATGTACTCACAAAACAATGATGGATCAAGTAAAAGTAAAAGTTTATGGTACGTTTGTGGCTGCTGATGTATATATTGACAGTTCCCCACATCGCAAGAAATGCAGCGGCTCACTAAGCAACATATGCTGGCATACATTCGTAATGTGTCACAGTAAAGCTGTAATGCCCTCTGATTTTGTGAATCCATGGGAGGAACAGAGTTAATGCACCTGTTGGTAAGAAGCATAGTTTTTTTCAACTCTAAATAATACAAATAGTATACAAAAGATAGATAAAAAAATATACCTGATAAGATGACTGGAAAAACCTTCTTTTGAGAAACTATGGAGAATTTTGTCACTAATACCCATAACGGAATCAAGAAATTTGCAAAGACTGCCGATGAAAGATGGAGTACATGGAGCTCCAACAGCTTCTTGCTCAGATCCTTAAGTAAGAGTAAATAAGTCATGCAGGGATGGGTGAGCCAATACAATTCCAAATAATACCTGTATTTTTTACTGAACATTTTAGAAAGAGATATGTAGACTTTACCATTACTTCTTGGTATTAAAATGCATTGATCTGAGGGCAGGTGAGAAAAATTTGTTTCCCCTTTGGTTGATTCTGGAACTTTCCAATGCATTAATCCAACTCCAACATCTCCAGAAAAATGTCTGTTTGGCTCCCAGGAAGTGGCAAGAGATAGACAGTCAAGGATAACACATATCTCTTGTAGAAAGCCATTCTCAGATAGCCGTTGGAACAGGATATCTAAATTACAACTTTCTCCAGCACCCTAAGGAAATTAAACATACATTAGTGCTATCTTGAAATAAAAATGGAGACCTCAACAAAAACTAAGGAACCACACTGACCCAGTCTCCGCTCCATGTTCTGCATTGCACAAGGTTTGACAATAAATAAGCAGCTTGCTCACGAACAATACTGGCTTCACTGTGATCTAGAAGAATACTTTGGAAACACAAAACAAACATTACTTGTTTGCAAAAATCTAAATTTGAGAAAATAAATTATCTGCTGGCATACCATAACGGTGTCATCCAAATATCGGAAGACCCCATGAATAAATTTTTAAGATGTTCTTGGCCCTGGGCAGAAGTTGCAATTCCTGCAGCAAATTGCAATGCTGCTGCTCGTACAATTATTTCTCGACTTTGAAATAAAGAGGGCAACCAAGGAATAGTGATAGCTGTACTGCACATTCTTGTAGTAGTTGTCTGCAAAAAGTCCTCCCACTTCCGAGTAGGCATGTGAAAAGTTGTTAGTTTTTAGAAGTTTTGATTTAGATATTTACAAGTAAAAAAGCTTTAAAATTCTGTCAGGAAGTATGTTCTGACCCACATTTTACCTTTATTTCTTTATGCCTTTTCATCTCATCCAGTAAATGGTTAAGACAAAGAATAGCAGCTCGAGTAATACTCAGACCCATGTAAGAGCTTCCACCTTTTCCACATTCTATATGGAAAGCTTGAACTAACTCCAATAAAACACTCAAAAGTTCAGAAAACAAAGTTCTTAACTGAGCTCCTGACATTGCAATGCTCCAATCTTGTCTGCTCGTCAAATGTGTAATGGTCCATAACAGCCAGTCTAAGTAAGCTGAAAATATTTAGTTAGCAACGGCATTTGGGCAGAAACGACAAAATTCACACACAAAATTCGAGTTACCCAGATTGTAAAAATGTTGGGTGTCACTAGATTTTAAACAATTCACAATATTCTGGATAAGATGTGCCCAGTTTGTGTCATGACTGAGGATTGCTTTATCAGTGCTACTGGATAACACCTCTCCAACCCAGACATCAGCTTGTTCCAGTTCAGTTTCGCAACTTGCTTTGCGGTTGATTTCTGGTTTCTGTTTTGTTTTGTTATGAGTGTTCTTTTTCTTCTCCCCTTCATTTTCCTTATTGTTATCGGAATTAAAAGGATTGTTTGCTGATATTTTAATGGAAGAATCTTTCTTTATTGAAAAGTGCTGCTCAAAATCTGCACATTCCTTGACAACATTTAATAGTTCTTTGCAAAGTTCTTTCCACTGTAATAAAAAATAAAATTATTTTAGCTATAGCAATATTTGGATGTGAAAAAATGTTATTAGCAAAAAAATTTAATTATTATCTACTTTGGGTAAATGTTCAAGTTCCTGAGGCATTTCATTATCTCCAGCATAGCCAGTGTGAGCAACAGTATGGAACATGTTTGGTAGGGGTTGAGATGGGTGTTGCAGTTGTTTTGATAACCAACGTCCATCTTTAAAATGAAAACCTTGAAAAAAAGGAAAAAAAAAGTTAAATAGTTATGGTGGTATACCAAGTTTTGTCTAATGAGCATTACTTTACCTAAGTCGTATAGTGAGGACACATGTTTCCTCAAAAATCGCAGAATTAGCACCAATAAATTCTGATCATCTACACTTGCAGGAGCGGCCATTAGAAAGCGCCGAAATGTATGGCGCCAGGGTAAATTTTTATATGACTGCTTAAAATGCAGTGTGTCAGAAGATGATTGCTCTTCCAGATAATTATTCTTCTTTAATATCCAATAAAGAGACAAAATGCTGTGAAAATGCAATATGATGTCAGAAAACAGAAAGAATATTACACAAGGTACGTTTGACAAGCAAATAGTACCTTTTCAATACATCTAAGGACTTTGCTACTTCTGAGTGTGTAGCAGCATCTTGAATGTTTAGTAACTGTTTCTGGCACAAATTGAACATAGCAGAGGCTTGTAAAGTGAGTAAATTTCTTTCATTTAGTAACAAAGACGAAGACATTTGTTTTTGAGCATCCAATATTGGTTTGGAGAGTTTCATTCCAATTTGCCAAAAAAGTGGAGATTCTTTTTCCTTGAAGTAACTTAGGTTCCAAACAGTAGCTAAGAAAGTTTTTGATTCTTTCTGATGCATTAAGATATCGGTCATGAGTGGTTCAGTGTAATGGCTTGTTTTCCAATGTTTTGAGAAAACAAAAGGAAGATTCATCTTTAAACCAATTATATGTGGTATAGATAAACCTCGAACAACAAAGCCATCGACCAGAGCATGCGGCGATGCAGATATGACCACATCATTGTACAGGAGGACAGCCAAGAGTTGAGAAGCATTAACATGCAAATTTTTGTCAGATGGGAACATTAAGAGTCCTGTTAAAATAAAATAACAAAATGTAAGCAGAAATTTAACTTTTTCATCATTCTGTCTCCCATGTTTTCAATGGGTAGCAGTACATACCTCGTACAATACCATAAAAAATGTTTATGTTTTTTGAAAGCTGATGTCTTGAAATAGAATGATGAAGACTTATACTTTTTAAGATACTAATAATAGGCACTGCCACTTCAGGATATACGTCATATCTTTTCTCCAGCTAAAAAAAGAGAAAAAAGAAAAACTAGATGGTTGACATGATACAGAAGAAAATGAGTAGAGAAAGACAACAACCATGAATTTATCTTCTTACCAGAGCTGCATGCAAAAAATCAACTGACAAACTTAAACCAGCTCGTGAAAGGAATGTTTCATGGTGCCTAGGATCCTCCACTATGGCAGCAATTTGTGTGAGGGCAGATATAAGCATTCTAGGATCTAGTCCACTAGACTCAATGATTTCCATGACTTGAATTAAGCTGCTTTCCTATATTAATACAGAAATCCTAGGTTTACAGCTCCATGACAAGAAATGGTTCCATGTAATATAGAATAGCAGGAATACCTGGTAAAATGGTTGATCTGGAATATTACTAAGTATATCAACCGGGTTTTCAACAAGGCATACATGATTTGTAACACAGTTGTGAAGTGTAGCTATGTGTGGTAGCTTTTCAAATGCATCCTCTTCTTTTGTCAAAAGCCATATTAATCTTGAGAGGGCTTCTCCCCTAACAAATTCATCTTTTGAAAACATAAGACGTAAATTCCCTTTCAAGAGCTGCAGATAGAAAAACAATATTAGATATGAATTGTTGATGTTTACAGGACTGCATTTACAAAAAATGTATGCCATAGAAGTGAAACCTCAGCAGCTCCAAGACTCATTTGACTGCCGACATCAGGATTTAGCATTGTGATAATTGAACGTCCTAGTGATGAAGGTTTACTTGACCAACACTGCAAGAGTGGTAGCACAGGTTCTAAAGAGGATAAAAACTGAGCCCAATACCCTGAACCCAGAACAAATTTGCCCTTTAAGGCATGTAACATAATATCCTCAGCACAACTTTGAACCTGAAGTAAAGCAAACAAAAACATAAAGAGAAAAATTTATATAACTTATCAATAGTTTCCAGGAACATAGAGATATGTATTTGTACTTTCTCACCAAATCATCTTCACAAGATATTCCATGAGTAGTAATTTCAAGCAATAAGGGAGTATTAAACAGCAAAAATGCAAGTGATTCTGCAGGAGAGTGATGAGAGAGATTTCGTACACCAAGATGCTCCAAAACCAATTGGTGAAGATGCGAGTAAGCTTTCCGTCGCACATTTATGTCAGAATGTGCCAATAGTTTCAATAGAATACATGTAAGGGTATGATTCTCAGTCTCAGTTAAATGCCACCTTGAACAAAAGAACATCCATACAGAAACCCTCCTTCTAATAATTCTCAGACATTGTACTTTCAAAAAGAATACCTATTATAGTATTTGGAGCAGCCATTTAATATCAGTGGTATGAACCTATAATCTTGGTGGAATGATAGTGAGGTCAAAGCATACTCTGTATTCAAAACAAATTTTGAGCCATCTTCTACATTTTGCTGTTGAAGTAGCTCAGCAGCACTTTTAAGAGATTCTGCCACAACCAGTGTACTTTCGAATAACTTAATGCTGTCCACATCTCGAACATTTCTGAACGTCTGTAATTGTGAAGGGATTTTGCTTTCACATTTAGCCATTTTTTGCAAAGATACTGCAGGGAATCTAATGGATAGTAGTTTTACCTGAGTATATTGTCTTAAATCAGCATGAAGTATTGGATAAAAGCAATAAAGTGGACCATCGAACAAAACAGAACATAATGCTGATTTCATTTGCCTAGGTAAACAACGATCAGCAATTTCTAAAGGTACAAGATGAAGTAGGAGCTGACGTGAAATTGCAAGTAACTGAAGATGGGTCAAACGGCTTTCAATTTGTGATCTGCGTATTTTAAAGGAATAAAGAAGTAAACATTTTTCAGAATGCTACACACATTTTTATAACTATTATAATAACTAAAGAAAAATGTGTTAAAGAAAAGTTAAAATGACATACCGATCTTGCTGTAAGACACCACCCAGCATTTCTAGCATTTCATATAAATGTGTAGCAATATCCGTTGCCATTAGGTCAGTAGCTGGAGCAAGCCAGATTTGAGGGGTGACACAGTTAGTCAACAATCTGCTCAGTTTAAAAAGCAATGTAGTGCTTTCAGATTGTGTATCAACATGAGGAAGGACGTGACACATTGCAAGAAGACAGAATTGAGGTATGCTGCACTGTTGGAGCCGAAGCAATGAAGACTCTTCATTCGTGACGCTATTGGTGGGGATCTATTCAGAGGTCAAAAATAGTTGTAACACAAAAGCAACTTAAGACTGCATCACTTTAATTATATTAAGTGTTCATTGTAGATAACTTACATGTGTTTCACTGTAATGCGATCCCTCATTACTCTTATTTGAAGGTGAAGCAGATGGCTGGGTCGAAATGGATGAGTCTTGTAGTTCTGACATTTTACCGATGTAGTTCCAGCCTGCTGTTTTGCTGAGCCCTTCAACATTGCCTTGGTTTTCAATGTTGGAGAGCAAAGACTCAGCTGATATTTGAGATGCAGTGTCTTCATCATAATGCAAAAGAATCTGAAATTATATGATTTGAAGATATGGATACGACAACTTTAAGATTCATAAGGTTTTGATTTACCACCACTTTTATACACTATATCCTGCTTCATACCTCTTGTTTTAAGTTTGACATATTGGGATCTCGATAACATTGGAGTTGTTGAAGCAGGGCATTTGTGAGAGTTAAAAGGCAAGTAATAATTAAACTTGCTAATTGATAATCATCCGAACATAAACATGATTTCAACCGCCGCATAAATGTCTAGAAAGATAGAAAATAATTTATGCAACTAACAACATTTAGAATACCAAGAAAATAATTGTTGGTCTCAGACAAAGGACATTTTAAATATTCACTCAAACTGTATTATGTATCATATTATTTTCACACATTACCGTAATTATATCAGGTCTCTGCAAAAAAACTTCTGGGGGAAAATCTCTCATCATGACATCAGTAATGAAAGAGCATGAATTCAACAGTTGCAAACGGTCGACTGGGTCAGTTAAGGAGCTTTCTACCGCTAAAAGCACATGCCGATCTGTAGATATTAAGGGCTGCCACGGGAGTAAAATATTGTTCAAAACGTTGCTAGAGATGACCTCAAACTGATCCTGAACCCTGGGGAGGAAAACAATATTTATTAACTATTTATGCGGAGAGCAGAGTCAACATTGTAAGAAAATAATGTGACTAATTATTATTTTTACTTGAAACTTTCAGTGGAGTCATGCAAAGTGAAGTTCTCTTGCAGAGCTTTCTCAAGTGAAGCATCCAGGAGGCAGGCACCCTGACTACTGGTAGTATGTAAACCATCATCTGGTAATTTATTGCTTGGTTGTTTATAAGAACATGTTTCAACTTCCCTTTCAGTTTGTATAATTTGAGCTCTTTGAACAACACCAACAATGTCATCAAGGAGAGGACAAAGTTCTGACGGGAGATTTTCACGTATTGTGTTGAGAGCCAAGATCATCCGTTGTGCTCCTATTTGAGCAACAAGGTGTTCGGATTCTTTCTCCTGTCAAAACAAATCCAACAGCAGACATAAATACATTAGTTTCTTAGACTTCCAGGTAAAGTCCAAAATGAACATTATTCAGCTTACTTTGAGAATCCTCAAAATCAGGCTGAGAACCTCCTCTTGAGAGGGGCAAGGCTGCAAACCAAACCATTCTAGCAATTTCACTAAGAAATCCTTGTTGCTAGAGAGTTCTGAAATTTTTATGAATCCTCGGTCAAGTTTTAATAGGATAGAGTCAAGAGCACGCTTACGAACTTCCTCCAAGCCATGACCTGTAAAACCGACATTATTTGAGATATATAGTATAAAATAGTGAAATCAAACAAGTAGCGATAATAATAATTGTAATTAAAATAAGACATTAAGAGTGTTGATGGTTAAGCCATGGGATACACACCAAGCTTCCGGCATAACGATAAAAGCAAACCGGAATCTGTCATATCAGATAAAAGACACTACTCCGGAGCAATACTTGAACAGTCCAAAACCGAGTGTTGGGGAAGAACCACCATCTGAGTTGTTCAATTTTAGCGTCAAAATATATAACTGACAAGCTCTAGGACTGACTATACCCGCCCAAATCCGACGCAATGTCGGCTCGGTCGCGCGGTGATGCGATTGGCTGACAGCTTCGGGAATATCCGAATGCGTTCGGCGATTCGGGTTACCACCATTCCGAACGCCTCCCGTGTTTTTCTTTGGCCGTGTGAGGTAAACATGGCGACCATCCAACCTCTTGATTTAGATGAACTGAGCGGTATTTGGAACTTCTTTGTGAGCGTATGTATCTTCCGAGACAGATCTAGGAACTAGGGAATATAGGGGCACTCTGGTGTACACACAGTCGATTTGTTTTTCTGTCTATGACACTAATTAGTGCGGGTTAACGAACGGCTGTCATGTCAAGGTTAGGTATCCTTTAATTATGTGAAGTGAATATTTTATGAGTAAGCACCTTTCGAGAATTGTTTTGACCTTGCGTCTCTAATTCAGTATTTGTTTCACTATTCGTATACGAATCGACCGATAATTTTCTGTCAACGAATTAGTCACACAAGCTATGGGTGCACAGACTTGACATATCATCTGATTCAATATTAGCGTTGAATTGAACATTGAAAAGATAGTGGTCATGTAAAGCACATCACCTTTTTTTTTCATTTCAATTTATGTATTGCTAGAAATTGTTGTGTGTATTAGGCTACTTTGTCCTTGTGGATGTCTAATGTTACATAGTTGTTTGCTTTCCCATATTTCAGATCGAATGGAGGGATCCGTGCATGTTGGCTCTGATAGTGTTTCATGTAGTTGTTACATCCATGGTTCTTCTTACAAGAAACCACAGCAACTTCCAGATAATTCTTTTCTTTATTTTACGTAAGTTTTTCTTGATCACATTAATGTTAAAATGTACAATTCTAGTCTAATTGGTGTGTAAAGTTACTGATGAAATTCTCTTGAAATTTTTTTTTAGTGTTCCTGGTATATTTCTCAGAAAATATTAATCAATTGGCATCAAACAATTGGAGGTATGGCTTTATGGTTTTGAGACAGTTTATGTAGTATTAATTTGTTATCAATTGTTAAACTAACATAAACATGTTTTGATTGGATCTTGTAGGTTGATGGCCACTCATCAGTATTTTGACAGTAAAGGAATGTTCATCTCTCTGGTTTTCTCAATACCCATCCTCCTGAATTGTATGGGCATGGTGGTAAGTTAATGTCTCAATCTTTTTGAAACTTTTTACCCTGGAGGGTTAAAAATCTGATAAAATCTATCCACTCTTAGGCATCATGGCTGTATCAATCTAGTCAACTTATGACGAAGCTGAAAAAAGCTCAATTGAGGCAGCAAGCGCAGTTGAATGCTCAAGGAAAACAAGCCTCCATTCATGGTGCTTCTCAGCAACATTCCAAGCAAGAGTGAGCTGTGTTTTGTGGACCCGACTTCTGGCTTTTGAACCTTTGCATCTATTTATGTTGTTTCTTCAAGATTTTTTTCAAGTTTGTCAGATTTTGACTCCGGCATAATTCTTGGTTTGTCTTAAAGTTAGGTATATGCCCACTAATGTGTTTCTTTTACATCACTGATTCCTGCTAATTTGAGTGAACTAAACAATTAGAAAGTTGAAGGAAGCTTAAGCCATGCATATTTGTCTTAAAGATCTCTTTGCTTCACTAGATGCCATTTGAGCAAATTAGTGTGATATTGACAATGAAATAGTTTTAGACTGCAGTTAGTTTTCTTTTGCTGTTATCGTTGTATTTTGTAGTAGCGTCTTTATACAACATTTAACATCTACTGTCAAAGACAAAGGGAATCCCTCCATTTTCAGGATGATCTGTCATACTTACCCCTATACAGTTCCTTGTTGATGTATCTGAAATAATCGAATTTGTACAGCCATACAGATGAATGTTTTTTTTTCTCAACAGAGCTTTGCCTAGTACGTAATATCTAAAGGTATCTGATAAGCTTTTATTCCCACTATTGCAACCTCTTTACCAGTCAGTTTTGCATTGTTGTTGCATTTTTATTACTTTGTTTACAGTACAACAAATTTAACAATGAAAATGTGACTTTTTCTCTATTTTAATGAGAAGTAGATACTTTTCATAGAAAACTAGAGCACTCCATATTCAAAGTTAACAAATTTTGATAATAGCACGTATGTATTTACTTGCCAATTGGCAAATTGATTCCATAATTTTCCTGTTTATCTAGCCTTTGATAGCCACTCTTCATAAGAAGCTACTTCAAAGCTGGTTCAGGATTGATTCATATAGAGGCTATTTTCTTTTCTTTTTTTTCTTGTGGTAGCTACTTTAAATAGATGTGACCCCTCAAATTATTTCCCTGGAGGTATTTAAATTGATAATTGCTATGAGACATATTTTAACCCAGCATAATCATTTCTTCTCTGTGATAACTAAAACATCTTTTTAGATAATTTGGAGTGTGTTTGAACTATCATAATTTAACTGACATGGAAGAGTAATGGTGATTTCTCAACAAGAATGGTGTCCCTACGCATACTTGTAAATCCTATGAGAGTGGAATAATGTGAAAAGTTTATAGGAGGATATTTAATGCAGTATAGGTTGGTATGATTGTTGGTTTTTTTCTTGCATTCATTTGTAATTTGTAGAATATTCCATACCAATTTTAGCTTCTTTTATTGTGCGTGTTGCGTATGTGTGTGTTTTCCCGTAGTGATGAGGTTGGTATCAAAATGCTTTCAAATCATATTTTCAAAACAGTATCAAAGTATTTTTATTCAGTATTTTCATGAAGAAATGGTTAATACTGGAGGAGGATAGTGTTGTATAAGAATGACTGAAAATTTAACTTGTGATTTTGGAATGGAATGTCTCAATACAGACTGTAATATTTTCTTGAAAAGGTCATTTGAAACTAACTTCATTGGCTTCTCCTGATCCCACCAAATATTTCCAGTTTTATTTTTTAGTGTTACTGCCCAACTTGAGGGTCTGATCAAGTGTACAATAATTTCTATAGTGTGTTAAGTCTGCAAGTTACAGGTTCTTTTTCTGATCTATTGCTAAATTTTAATTATCATTGTAGTGCATTCAATCTGGATGACAATACAATATTTGTTCTTGTTTTAGGCTGTAGCGTGTGTCCAGCACTGTACATAGTGTTCAATATGACATGATAGTGCAATTTTGTTTGCTATTCCTTTCTCTCCTGTTTTGGGTTTGCTAATATGGGTCGGTAGGTGGTGGTGTAAGTAATTAACTTCTGTGCCTGTACCCGTTTTCATTTATTTAATCTATCGTCAGGTTTTGGCAGGATTTACAATTCCTCACTGAGGTAAAATAATGAAGTATACAATACATGTTTTCATGGCCTGTGTGGATGAATAGTGAGTTTATGTTCCCCCTTCAATTTAATAATAGTAGAGTTAGTCACAGCCAGAGTTGCTACCATTTTGTGCAGGAGTAACCACATTTTACTTTTAAGGAAAATCAAAAATATATGAAAGTGGCTATGAACAGTAGTAGGTATTGTCATAGTGAATTTAAATCGGTGAGAATTTTTTTGTTTTCTTCTCTTTTTTATATCAAACATCTTATCACACTTAAGCCGTATGAAAAAATAATCCTGGTGTTTCATGCTTAACAAAACCAACTGAAGAGTACTAAACACAAGAGTGCTATGTTATGTGTTACTGTAGAAATGTTCTACATCCAATTTTATCGTGTTTTATTTTTGTTTATTTTAATTTTGCCTAATTCAGGTGTTACCAATGTGTTGGCTTGATAACAAGAACAGGCCTCTCAGACTAGTCAAGTGGTACTTGCAAGTGTTATCTGTTTTCTGGTTTTAAGCCAATCACTTATTTCTGATTATTCACCAATGTAAGTAGTATAATTTCTTAGATAAACTCGGAATCTGGAAGGCTATTTTTGTGTTTGTACTAAGAGTTGAAGTGCCATGCCAAGAATACTCAAAATTCTCTGGTTTGCTATTCTTTGCATGTTATTTGTAACTCTGGTAGAGAGAGACTCAAAAGATCCCACTAATTTTGTACGCAGAGTAAACTGTCAAGTAGGTGTCGAACTTTTCAATGAATCTCAATAGTTTTACTATCAAAGTTTCCGAGTTCATTGAGGTACTTGTTTATTGCATTCCCGTGTCACACTTTTGCTTCCAGCAAGAAAATTATATTTGTACTTAGCACTTTTATCAGCAACCACTGTTGAGTACAACTTAGTGCACTTAAATGTTATTATTGATTAAATAAAGACTGAGCCCCTGTTAAAAATTGTAATCATTTGACATCCCAAACTTACCACCTCAACCGCACAAAACACGCCCATGAGTTTGCACTTTCCCTCAAGCCAGCTTGCCCTTGGAGGAGAATAAATTTTTTAAATTCATACTGGGGGGGGGGGGTAGGTTCCTCACTCACTGCGCTGAAAGGATTCATCCGCAGCCGTGCAAACTACAAGCGATAGCCAATTAAGAAGGCATGCCGTTAGGGGTCGTACCCAAACCACGTGACCTATAGGTGGAGGGGGGTACAAATATAATGGGGTCCGAAAAAGGATCAGGAACATCGTTGGGAGTCCATTTGTACCCCGGGTACAAATATCATGGGGTCTCTATGGACTGCAATGATGTTCCTGATGCTCTTGGGACCCCATGATATTTCCCCCCCCCCCCCCCCCTAAAAGTCGCGTGGTATGGGTACGACCCGTTATCAGCCCTCGTGCGGGTCAGTGTGCGTGTGCGCGCGGTGCAGCTCACTTCCTCTCCTCCTCGGCCTGCAGATGCGGCTCCACCACACTATCGCGTGCGACCGTGATCACGCTGCCCCGCTGGCCGCGCCCACCTATCACTTCCTGAGAGAGGGCGGGCGGCGCCCAGCCCGGGCGCGAGCGGCCGGGAAATGACTAGTCAACTCGACGTGAGATATTGGTGTCGATGTATAACTTCATAAATGTGTGGCCACATCAACCTGACCTCTGGCGCGCAGCCCACGGAGCAGCGGGGCCACGCCGCGTGGCGGGTAGCACCACCCCCTCGAGGCCTCTCCACACACCGGGGCGCCACCTCACCCCTCTTACCCCCCTCCTCCCTCCCCCGGCACTGAATGGCCAGCAGGCCCCTACCATTTTGGTCCGTTCACAAGTTACGTCGCTTTTTATAAAAAAAATTGGGAGGTACATTTTACCATTAGACAGAAACAAAAGTAGATCACCCCCTTCTTCGTTCCCCCATCAATAATCGACGTGATTCGTGCACGACCCCCTGCTCGACTGTGGGGGCTGGTGCGGCCCGCCCCCTCCACCCCCTCCCACTCGCCCCGGCGGCCCCCTCCCACTCGCCCCGGCGGCCCCCACACACTGCCGGTGCCCCTTGCGGTCAGACGGTTGGTCAGACAAGATGGAAATCGAGTCGGAGGCGCCAAATTATACCATACCAGGGGCCCCCGCACTAACGCCGGGTGCACGCGAACGTGTTGCTGGTTGCGTGCGTGGTCGACCCCCCGAATAAGTGACCGCGGTGCAGGCAGCGCATGCGCCTACTTTTCTTGGCCATTTTAGCGCACTACTTGGCTATGACATTTGTACCCCGGGGTTCGAATAACAAAACAATTATCGTGGCCTCCCAAACACCCCCACCGAACAACAACAACAACAAGTTCAAATAGCGTGGAAAAGGTACCCCCACTTGTGTGTGCGACCCCAAAGATATGTCCACAGCCCCGTCGCGTCGGGTCGGACCGATAGATTCCGACCACACATTCTCGTCGGCTTGCTCAGCCCTGTTGCGCACGAGCTCGTCTGCTCGGAACGAGCTTCCCTGGAAGGGAAGCGGTAGCGGAGCGCGGGCCCCGGGCCGGGGGGAGGGGGCTCGACGCTCGACGCCCGAGACCCCTCGCCCCGTCCCCCCGTCAGCCGCGGCCGGCACCCTGGTGGGATACCGACGAGGCCGCTTCGCCCTGGTGTGTGGGAGGGGCGGCGGCGCATCGCACCCTCGCACTTTTCGGCGGAGCTGTACCCCCAACCCCCAGAACCCTTAATTGCGTAATTCAAATTGGGGCCCTTTTATTTCGGCATCTTTTTAGACGCTGTATTAGTTAACTCTCCAGAAATAAATGACATAAAATACATCCATGCGGTGAAATAAAAGTGTACCTTAACTCGACAGCCTGACAGAAAAAATTATTTACCCCCGGTCGCGGATCGGTTTGCTTAGCGAGTTATATATCGCCTCGATGCATCGGGTGCGTGCGCTGCTGGGGCACGCCGCGAATCTGACTCGGTGATCGGTCGAACCGAAAGGCCCATCGCGAGGAGTAATGAGATTTTAACTATGTTTGTAGTAAATCAGCAGCAACAAAAACAACAACAACCCAAACCCAAAGCACACACTGAACCCTGCAATAATAACCGGAGAGCGAAGAGCCGCGAAGAAGATGCGCGCCAAAGTTCAAGTTGCCGTGTGGCCGCGTGACAATCAGTTGCGACGTGCAGCTGCAGCACGGGTCGCGCCATCATCAACGTCGCCGTTTTGGGACAACACCACCAGGTCGGCGATTAGGAGGCTCACCCATCCCCCGGCGGCCCCGCGACCATGACCAGGTCCCGCTGCTGCTGCTGGGCTCGTCTATGATAGGCGGCCGGAAGACGACGCGCTCCGACGGGCAGGGGCGGGTCACCCGGGACGGGTATCGCACCGCACGGGCTTTGGCTGCGACACGCCGCGCCCCGCCCGCGGCCGGCACCACCTCGCACACCTCCCCCACCGCCCCCCGGCGACCGGACCGGACCGGACCGGGGGTTCACACGCATCGCCCTATCCGACACAGGCCGATTCATCGGCTTCATAGTGTGTGTGCGTGTGTGTGTGTGTGTGTGTGTGTCTGTGTTGGGTCCAGGTCGCGTGGGAGATGCACCCTCGCTTGCCACGCGCCGCGTCCGGTCCGCGCTCCACTGGGGCTTAGAGTCACCCCCCCCCC